TATTGATCATAATTAATGAATTTTATTCATCTTCCATAAATATTCAAATCATAATAAATAAACAATCATCATTTCTATAAATATCTCAATTAATTGGGTTACATTGGTTGTACAAATAGACATTGTTGTATTTGAAATATACCCTATATATTTACACACACACACACACTTACACACGTAGGGGCGGGTTCAAATGCTAACCAAGATTATCGTGTTAACTTTATTAACCGATCTTGACCGTTAATTTGAATAATAAACAGTTGTAATTTAATGATATTTAAAAATTAATTATTAAATTAATATTTTCAATTAACATATGTGAACAAAATATCAACGGGTTCTTTAATACACGAGTTGTCAGACATATAAACAACTTGTATATATCTTCAAATCACATCAAACAAAAAAAATTAGACATATGAACAACTTGTGTATATCTTCAAACCACATCAAACAAAAAAAATTAGACATATGAACAACTTGTGTATATCTTCAAACCACATCAAACAAAAAAAATTAGACATATGAACAACATGTGAACCGTATGAACATCTTTTGTATATTTAGGAGCCAACTCTGCTGTATGCACATGAACACCCATGAACCAAGGCATATAGGGCTGTGTGTTTTCATATGTGTTCACATGTTTTCACATGTTCTGTGTGTGTGTATGTATGTATTCATATGAACATCTAGTGATTTGAATATACATGAACACTTATGAATCACGACATCTAAGGCTGTGTGATTTCTGATGTGTTTATATGTCAAAGGCAAGAACTGTCGATTAAAATAAATGTGAATTATAGAACATGAACATGTGTGAAACCCCAATATCAATATTGCATCATGATCAATTGTGATATTTTCAAATTTATAACTCCYAATTAATTATTTGGGAGTTACATAAAATGACAAATTACTTAAATACCATTGTATAAAATATATGAGTTACATTTGAACTAAATAAAAAGATGAAATATGATTGGTTAGTTTGGTTAACATAGTTAACACAATAAAAATTGGGGGGTGCTAATGGCACCCCTTATAGGGGGGTGTTGAATGTGTTGGAAATTGGGATCACTTTAAAATTTAGAAAACATCAAATCAATTTTAAAAATATATTATATTTAATTATTATTAGTATTTAATATACATATATATATATATATATATATATATATCATTTAATTAAGTTATATTATATAATTATATATATAATC